CGCACGTTAAAGATCCCTTGGTGGTCTAAAATCGATAAGAGTAGGCTTCGGCCGCCACCCGGGCAAAATTTCAAAATTTCCTACCAATTGAAAATAGGGGGATTTTCGTTATGCACAGTAGAATTGTATATGGGGCTGATTCATCAATGTCACGCTCATAACTGTGCCTGTTGTGCTGCTTTGTCTTTCCTAATCCTTACTATTGTCATTTTTCCTCTACTTCTTTTGCATGTTTGTCACACTCTTGTGACCCGCTATTTCCAGGGTGCCTTGCAAGTCGAAACAGATTTTGTGCTGTTGAAGCTAAAGAGGTGAGCAGAGTAAGCCTGATTCCCTGTAAAGACTCCTCTGTTGACATCCACCCCTTGGTGCTCATATGACCTTTTGTAGTTGCGAGTGCCGTAAAACCTCTACTAAATAAATTTTTTAAAAACCCTTGAAAATTTATGGGGTTTTTTTTTTACAGTACACCAATCCCGACATTAAAAGACTATCCACATATGTCGTAAAGAATGTGGACGAGCTCTTTTGTCCAATTAAATAGTAGGAAAATTAGTGCAATTCAGTTGTTTCCATTCGACACAGCTTTCGATATTTTAATCTACTCATGCTGCACAACCCATAAGTCTGAACAATCCGCCAACCGGACTTCTCAGCACGTAGACACCTTGAATGGACTGAAAACTCACGATTAACCCCGGCTGCACACTGCTCAAATCACAATATTGTTTACTCAATTACTTTAGCGGATGTGGAGCGAGAATCTAAATTAATAAGGTTTTTTATGACTTCCTTTCTTTTAGCATTGCAACTCAAAGAAGTTAGGGGCGCAGTTTAGTGTTGAAATTTTGTTCACAAAATAAACTTTAATAACTGGATGTCCCCTTGTGCGTTTGTGCTTGAATTCACTTTGTGTGAATGACTTGTTTGCACTATGAGGGACAAGAAGTCATTCAAACACACTTTCACCACTCCTCAAAAGGTTGCGCTTCAGCTGTGCTCCCATTTTAAAAGAGAGGCAGAGGCAAAGAGAAGAGTTGTGCCATGATATAGTGGATCCAAAGAAAGAACTCGGCATGCCTTTGGTTGGAACAAAAGCACTATGGTCAAGATGGATAAAGCCGAACAAGGTGAAGAGACTTTCCTTGCTAAAAGAGGGCGGCCTTTGAAGACTGATAGTATAGTTTCGATAGGGAGGTTGTACGACGAGCAATTGTTCAGATGTTTGAAAGAAATGAATTTGTTACCCTCAGAAAGTGGAAAAGATGGTTGTCCAATAATCATGATATAAACGTATCGAAGACATGCCGTTGGAAAACAGCGAGACGTGTTGGGTTTACGTTCAGGATATCAAATGGTGGGAAAATTTACTGTGCGAAAAAAGAACATTGTTAATTTTAGAAGGAAGAACTTGAGAGAGTTGAAAGCCGCCCGAGAGAAAGGATATACGTTTTTTTTCTTAGACGAAATTTTTATAAACGCTCACCATGTGTTCCAAAAAGAATGGCAGTCAAAGGATGGACGTCGTATTAGAAGACAAGTTTCAGCTGAAAAAGGAGAGAGACTGATAATCGCACACTGTGGAAGAAGTGAAAAGGGTTTATTTGAAAACGCAGAACTAATTTTCAAGTCAAACTCCGTTGACGATAGGGATTGTCACAAAGAAATGAATGGCAACATATATCGAAATTGGATTATTCCTTTTTTTTGTTAATGAAAAAAATATTACCTGCACTGGACAAACCATCTTGGAGAGTG